GGCTATCCAGGTGGGGTCAAATTTGACCCCAACGACATTTAAAACTTCGCCATTCAAAAATCTTTCGACTAAAATCAATTTTCTCTTGAATGATTGAAACTCTATGTTTAGTGAACATGTTGGTCAATTTTCATTGTTTTCTGACCACTCTAAGTAAGAAAAAACATCGATTTTCGGAGTAAGGTCTTAATGCGCATAACGTAAGTGCGCAATTGTCATGAAATTTTTTTTTGCCGAACAACCTTGCACGGACTTTATGAATGGCAAATTGCTTATAAGCTTATTAGACTATAGTTTATTTTCGAATTTCGAAATTTCCGTGGTGTAGTTTCGCTAGTAAATTCATTTCATTCATTCTTTCTAAATTGTTATGTTTGATTACTATAACTTTTCAATTCGACAAATTTATAATGAGTCACACTAATGATACAACCGAAATAGATAGTGATGAAACGGAGATATACGAATATGATCAAAATTTAGAATCTTATCATGAATCTGATGATGATTGGTATCCTGAAAACCAAGATGACGGTTGGTTCGGAAAAAATAAAACAACATTTTGGAAAAAATATCTGCCAGATTCAGTGTCATTTCGAAAAAATCCTCATAACATACTTCGAGAAAAGCAGGGATTAAAAGGACCTGCATTAAATGCCGTATCTCCGAACGATTATTGGTCATTATTTGTGACCAACGAAATGTTGAATTTATTAGTAAGCAATACAAATGAATTTATTGATACAATCAACATTCGCCATACGTTCAAAGAAACAAATGCATTGGAAATGAAGGCTTTTTTGGGATTATTATTACTGACTGGAATATATCGAAGCAATCGGCTAAACTTGAATGATTTATGGATCAATGATGGCACAGGTGTAGAAATTTTTCACTTGACAATGTCACAAAGAAGATTTCGATTTCTGCTTGCAGTTTTACGATTCGATAGTAAAATAACTAGGAACGAAAGAAAAAAAATCGATAAAATTGCTCCCATAAGGGAATTGTTTGAAATCTTTGTAACGAATTGTGCCATCAATTATTCACCATCAATGTCTTTGACAATTGACGAAATGCTAGTTGCATTTCGCGGAAGATGTTCTTTCAAACAGTACATCCCTAGCAAGCCAGCCAAATACGGCATAAAAATACACGCTTTGGCGGATGCTGAAAATGCTTACGTCTGCAATATGGAAATATATCCAGGACGCCAGCCAACCGGTCCGTACATGGTCGACAATTCGGCCAAGGCCGTTGTTACCCGTCTAATTAGGAACATCTCCGGTTCGGGTCGCAACATTACATTTGATAATTGGTATACAAGCTATCCACTTGTAAAATCGTTGATGGATGAATATCGCTTAAGCGCAGTTGGAACTTTGCGGAAGAATAAACGCGAAATTCCTCCAGAATTTTTGACAATTCGAAATAGAGCTACATACGATAGCATGTTTGGATTTTCCAATAAAATCACATTGGTATCTTATATACCCAAAAGTAAAAATAGAAAAAATGTATTGCTTTTGAGTACTATGCATTATGATAAATCAATTAATCCTGAAAGTGGCGAAAAAAAGATACCCGAAATAATTTCATTTTACAATGAAAACAAAGTTGGCGTGGATTTAGCCGATCAAATGGCTGCAAGTTACAACGTATCAAGGAATAGCAAAAGATGGCCCCTTACAATTTTTTTCCACCTACTGAATATAGCCAATATAAATTCTTTCGTTTTATATTCTCAAAAATCGTCCAATTTAATGCGTCGTAGAATTTTTATCAAAAATGTGGCCTTATCATTGATTGAACCGATATTAATTCAACGTATGAATTCTTCGTACATTGAAAGACAAATCAAAGATGATATTCGGAAAATCTTACCAAATCGTGATGCTCAAAGAAACATCTATTCTGAATCTAAATCTTCGTACGGTCGTGCGAGATGTTATATATGTCCACGAAATCTTGACATGAAACATGCAATTAAATGTCAAGAATGTAAAAAAACAATTTGTGTAAACCATTGCCGTGGCGCAACATTCTGCGTTAAATGCTTGGATAATGATTCTGCTTAATTAATAAAATTCCGTTATAATTAATATAACTATAATTAATAAATTTCATAAATTTCATAAATTTCAATTTTAAAGTATTTTTATCGTTCTTTTATCAAAAGATTTATTGTTTTAGGGATAACAAAGGACGTTTATATAGAAAATACGTCATCTTGATTTCCGGGAGATTTATCGCTATTAACATGCAGTTAAGATAGCATATTTTGATGAAATTTTAAAATTGATAATATTTTCGAAGAGTTGAGCACAAAATTTTATATTATTTTCACTTGCAAGCATAATTTAAAAGAAATCAAAGTTGGGGTCAAAATTGACCCCACATGGATAACGACGCGAGAAATGCTGCGTGAATAGCGGAGGGTTAAA